AAAGTAAAGAGTATCATCGATTTAAAAAAAAGACAATTTAAATTTACTTGGGAAAACAAATCTTATATTTTATCTATTACATGTTGGAAAAAGCCACAATATAATAATGGTGAGCCTATTCCTTTAAAAATTCCCTCTGAGTCTAATAACTCAAATAATCAAACTTTAGTTGTTGAAACTTATGAATATAGTGAAGATGAATATGAATCATCTGATAATGAACTAGAGGAATCCAAAGGATTTTTAGTTATAGGAAATTCTGATGAAAAACCTATACTTAAAATTAATAATACCCAAGTTAAATACCAAAATGAATCTTTTGATAACTATAACTTTCATTCTGAGCAAGCTAGTAATCCTCGAACTATTAAATATTATTGTGCTCAGCTACAAAAAACATGTCCAAAATGTATACAAGTAAGAAAAGCAATAAGTTGTTTTACCACCAAGGAGGACTTTGAGGAAACAAATTTGTCTTCTGAAAATAATTTACAATTACAACAATTTTTAACTGAAAGTAACTATATATTCTCTAAGAGAATGAATGATTTAGGCAAAACAACTATAGACCAACATCAAATTATTACTAAAAATGTTCCACCTATTTATCAAAAAGCCTACTATATGTCTCTAGCTAAACATGAATTTATTCAACAAGAACTCTCTTTGATGCTTGAAAATAGGCTTATAGCTCTATCAAAAAGCCTATAGGCCTCTCCTGTTGTTTTAATAAAAAAAAAAAGATAAATTAAAGCTTTGTATTGACTACAGGAAGCTTAACAAAATTACCAAACAAGATGTTTATCTTTTACCATGAATTGATAAAATTTTGGATACTCTTAAAGGTGCTAAATGGTTCACTACTCTTGACTTGGCTAGTGGATATTGGCAAATTGAAATAAAGCTTGAGGATTGTGAAAAAACTGCTTTTATTACCAAATATGTGTTGTTTGAATTTAATGTTATGCCTTTTGGTTTAACAAATACACCTGCTACTTTTCAACGAGTTATAGATAAAATATAAGATTTGTTTTCCCAAGTAAATTTAAATTGTCTTTTTTTTAAATCGATGATACTCTTTACTTT